TCCCCGCCTCCCGCCTGCAGCCCGGCGCCCCAGCGCGCACGCGCGCTGCCGCCCGCCTGCCGCGGCCATTGGCTCCGCGAGCTTCCTGCCTTGGCTTCCCGGGAGCGGCTTCACGCAAGCTCGCTGGCGTCTTCCTCCCGCCCAACAGCAACTGTTTCTGTCCTATTGGGTAGTCTTGACCCCGCCCCTTCCTCCGCCTCCGCCCCGATAGGCGAACCTTAGTGCCATTCACCGCCGTGGGCGTTTCTGCTTGTCCCGAGGAGTCCCGGATCGCGATTGGCAGGTGATGAAACCTTTGGGTTTGCAGCTGATGTGTAGGTTGTCGCCCCGCAGTGCGGACCCCTCCGGGCTAACTGGGGGGTTCCCAGTGCAGGCTACCCCAGGCCAGAGTACTAGTTCAGGATGCTACGTGAGACGGCCTCCCCTCTTGAAAAAGCTCAGGATTCGATGTTTCTGAGTTTAATGTGTCTTTACGGAAAAAAAAAATGACTGACAGGTTGATGAACAAGCAAGACGCAGACCCATAGCCCTTGGGCAAGCAGCCATATCCTGAAGATTTTTCTCCTAAAACACCAGACCTTCCTGCAGAGTCAGTCAGGAGGACAGGTTTTGTGACCAGCACATCCTCTCCCCTACTGCCCCAACAGAGATGCCATTGACCTGAGGGTTTGTAAGCTGCCTGTGCCCCGTGTACACGCCCCAGGAAGGGCTAAGCCTTAACAGATGGGTCTCCTAATCCTGGACTCTGGACTCCAGGGCAGTGTTGGTGAAAGGGTGGTTTGAACCTGAACAATCACAGTTTAGCTGCACAAGTTTCTCCCAGGCAAAACAAGCTTCATTTCCTTTCAGCAAATAAATCACTATTTTATTACTTCTCCACATTACATGCTTCTCAATCTGGAAGCAACTTTAGGCAGAGCACAGAAAAAAATGAAACCCTAAGCTTTACTGAAATGGATGAGAAAAGAAAAAGATCACACACTCCTGATGCCAGTATTTACAAATCTTGCCCATTTTGGCAAGGGACCTGGAAAAAGAGCAGGAGTTCAAGACCAACCTGGGTGACATAGCAAGACTCCACCTTTAAAAAAAAAAAAAAAGCCTGCTAATTGTCTTTACTCAATATGGCATCAGCCACTTAGGACAGAGCTAGGACTGGATCCCAAGTTTCCTGAATTCTTACGGATCTTGGGATTCCTGCTGTGTGATCTGGCCATGTTCCCCACTCATAATCTTGGAGCTCTGAGTAGACACACATATATACAAGCTCTTCGGTAGAAAATTTCCTGCATTCAATATCCAGGAGACATTCCCTCATGCAGACCAGTTGTGAACACTAAGGACCTGCAAGAGGACTTTTCTCTAAATGGCTGCACCCTGAGTCCTCGCATCCTCATTCCTCTTCGTTTGTTCTTGCCGTGGTGTTGTTTATTCCCTTTTCATTCCTTTTCCCCCTCCTACCATTACCTGAAATCCATTCATGATTCTGCCTTTCCAGCTTCATCACCAAATACTTCTATGCCAGCAAAGCAGGCCTGCACAGGCCTTCATTACAAATAATAATGGGTGTGAGGCAATGGATTAGCTGTGGGTGCCAGGCATTGTTCTAAAGCCTCACTGTGAAGCGGGCATGGTGGCGCATGCCTGTACTCGCAACACTATGGGAGGCTGAGGCAGGCAGATCAGAAGTTCAAGGCTAGTCTGGGCAATCTAGTAAAAACCCTGTCTGAAAATAAAAACTTGATAAAGGCATGGGGTTGTAGCTCAGTGCAAAAGCCCTGGGTTCAGTCCCCAGTGCTGCACCAAAGAAAAAAAAAAAAAGGACAAAACGCTATGGACTAACTCAATGGATCACGTAACACTCCCAGCAGAGCGCAGTCCCCGTGTGCTGTCCCTGTTAGGAAACTGAGGTACAAAGGGTTTGAGTAATTTTCCAGTTCACACTGCTGAGAAGAATAGAGCCAGGATTGAGCCCAGATTTGCCATTTCCCAGCCGACTTCCTCTGTCTCTCCCAGTTTCCTTCCAAAGGCTGTGCCATGAACTGGGTATAACAGTGCATACCTATCATAGCAAGCCCTCAGGAGGCTGAGCTAGGAGTTTCGCAAGTTCAAGCCCTGCCTGGGCAACTTTAGCAGCTTAGTAAGACCTTCTGTCAAAATAAAAAACTAAGGGGCTGGGAGTTAGCTTAGCGGCACAGTGCCTCCCTGGCAAGCACAAGGTCGTGAGTTTGATTCCCAGTACCGGAAAAAATAAAAATAAAAAAACAGAAAAAATAAAATTAAAAACTAAGAAGGGCTGGAGATGCAGCTGAGTGTGAAGGCCCCAGAAAGGGAGGGGAAAACAAGAAGGCTGTCCCTTTGCAGAATAGGTTGCCTGGGATCTTCCATCGGGTGGCCCTTCCTGGTTGGTCAGCCTCCCTCCTCTGCTTTCTCGAGTTGTCCTGCCTTCAGAATCGGGCATCCCTCCAGGCCTGGGCCCCACCCCAACGCCCTCAGTCTCCTTGTGCCACCTGTGCCAGCCAACTGCCTGCCTTATTTCGTCCTCCTTTGGACACACTTAGTTCAGCTGCAGAGCGACTCCCTTTTTTAAAGATATACCTAGTGTGGTTTCCTTAAAACAGCTTTTTCCTCCCATGTTTCCGTCCCACACAAGGTCCTCTTCAGAGACGGACCTGATCTGCCACCTTCAAACTTTGTTTGCTATAGCAAATGGTGGTTACATTTCTCCTCCCATACCTACAGCCTGTGTTTAGTCACCTCTTTAAAGTGGGAAGAGTGCTGTCCTGACCTAAAGCACCTGGCACCTGGCAGACCACATCTGAAGGCACCTTTCCACTGTGTGTCATCTGCCCACGAGCCATGCGACGCCCCGCCCCCCCGCCCCAGCCACATGAGTCCTGCTGCTGCTGTTTCTTCACAGGCGGAAGCCAAGAGCCAAGCCCTTAGCCTCAGCTCAGTTAGGGGAAAGGGGGCTTCTTCCCGTGCGCTCTGAGTGGCTCTGCTCCTGTTTAATAGCCTGGAATGAACAGCAGGGAATATTTACAGAAGGACAGAAGGACCTGCTTACACTGGGGGCCTTAAAGCCTGAGACCTCAGAGGTAGCTAGAGAATAACGGTGGAAAAGATGCTTTATACCCCTTCATGACTTCAATTTTGAGCCATCTGAATGTATTATCAATTTTAACTTATTAAAAAGAAAAGACTTTGGGCTGGGAATATAGCTCAGTGGCATAAGCGCCTGCCTGGCAAGTGCAAGGTCATGAGTTTGATCCCCGGTACTGAAAAAAAAAAAAAAAAAAGGAAGGAAGGAAAGATTTAAAAATAAACAAGTGTGGCAGTGCAGACCTGTAATCCCAGCACTCCAGGAGGCTAAAGCAGGGTGACTGCAAGTTCAAGCCCAGCCTGAGCAATTTAGCCACTTAGCAAAATGCTATCTCAATATGAAAATCTAAAAAAAAGGATGTAGTTCAGTGGGAAGGCCCTGGGCTCAGTGCCCAGGAAAAAGCTGAATACTCTCCTGAGTTAAAAAGCTGAGGATAGGGCTAGGGATTTAGCTCAGCGGCACAGCGCCTGCCTGGCAAGCGCAAGGTTGTGAGTTCAATTCCGGGTACCAGAAAAAAAAAAAAAAAAAAAAAAGCTGATGATAGTATTGGAGGAGTAGGTAACTTTTTTTTTTCTTAACTTTATAAAGGTCTGAATTTGCTACGGGAAACACCTGCAACTGTTTTCTTGTTGTTGTTTGTTTTTTAATAAAATAAAAGTCACACAAAACTCAGAAGCACACCAGAGTTGTGAACATCACCTGGATGTCCCTGGCTG